AATATACTTTTGTTTGTTGTAGGGTACGTATTCACGAGTATTGTTTTTGAGATCTCTCATGTGAGTAATATTTGTACTCAGGGGGATATATGGTTGTATGCATTCTTAATGGGGTCTGTCTCTGCTTTTGTTGATATTATTGCAACTGTTGTATTTTGTTTGCAGTTTTGTTTACATTTCAAGTTATCAAGTACTCTGTATGAATCTGTTTCATCTCGGGATATACATTTCATTTATGCATGTGAGCGTGAAAGACCACAGTTGTTATTACGTACAGTACATCTTTATATACTGCCATCTTGAGTTTCATATATCTGGAACGGTGTTCCTGTATATTACTGTGGTATATTGATTTTTTGTGATTGTCATGATTTCGATTATTTGTTTACTTAGAAACGCCGGTTCATAACGTTGATATATACGGCCATTTTATTGCAGTGAGAATGATCTGACCGAGAGTGCTGCATCTACGGACGATGATACCGTCGAGGTACGTTTACGTTTACGTAGTTATATACATGCATACATACATATACATACATACATATATATACATACATATATATATATATATATATATAGATGTACATATATATATATATATATTATATCTTTATATAAATTGATATTCATATGCATATAGATCAGACGATGAAAGTGTGTTGGATGGTAACCAGAAAACATTTTGCATAGCTGTGATTTGGTTTGCCACTTTGTGATAGTCTTGTGACAATCGTATCACGGTTGAGATTTGTAGTTTGTACGTGGTGTCTTGTGTCTGTGAATGGGAATAGTCAGTGCAACCTTTAGGATATTCTGGCATGATCGTAGTTAGGCTTGTCCCCTCTGGGTGTATAAAAAGTCGGAGGTCAAAAGTCAACCTGTGATATTCGACAATAAAAGCAATACATGCCTCTGTCCACATCAGGGGCTAGCTAACTACTAATATTATATCTGGACAAGAATCATTCATGACATCTAACTTTAAAGACTCAGCACAAGTCATTTATGCGCACCTACAGAAGAAGTACCGGTCTATCATTCAAGACATGAAACAGCAGTTGCTCATGAAGGATGACATCATCTATGATAAGGACAATCTCATCTCCCGTTTGCGAGACACCATTGCCATGCTGAGGGTATGTTGAGTCAACGTCATCTATGCGAGTAGGTATATAAGCTCTGCTATGAGTCGTAGAACTATTGAGCTCATGAGCACGCCATCTATAGTTACCTGCCTGTACGTCTATGTACCAACAATCCCAGTAGAGAAGTGGTTGCGTATGTAGATATAGGTCTGCGTTCACAGACATATATTATATCCAGCGTGTTTTGTGGATTGATACACTATCGGTGCATTGGCGCCTGTGTCTGCCTACATGCGCCTTATGAATATAGTATATAAATATATATATATATATACATATATATATATATATATATATATATATATGTATATATATATATATATATACATA